ACCAACAAACCTATTTCTACAGTTCAGTCCTAATGGCTTAATGACCTAATCAATCATTCTCGAAAACGTGGTCATTTGCAAAATGTTCCATCAATAAAAAACAACACGAAATATTTTCATGTATTATACTTTTTCTATCACTTTGGTTCATTGCACCTTTTGCTTATAGTATGACTGACATTTTTCATTATCCAAGCTCACCACATCAATCTTTTTTTTTATTTTCGGTCTTGTGTAAATCTTCAGAACTGGTTGGAAACACGAAACCAACTTCATCGGTTTATATTTCAAACACTTGGCACAAGTGAATCAAACATATCACAAGCAGTATTTCATTAATATTTATAATACCGAAGCCGAAAAAATGTGTAATCCCATGCAAAGGCAAAACAAATCAAAAGCTTTAAACCAATTTAAATTAAATTAATTTCACGCTTTGATTTTTTGAAGCGTCAATATTTTACTGTCTGTCTGAATGACAAATATACATATAAGTTTGTATATTATAATAATAAATTAATAAAAAGCGTTAGTGTTTGCTTAAATTATTTATTTTACATTAGTCAAATATAAGGGAGATTAATGGAGTGGAACGGACTAGAATGTCTTGAAAATTTGTACAAATACCTTTGCAACAGCGATGAAAAATACATTGGCAAGCCAATTAGCCTATCATATCAACTTCCCATATAAGCACAAGTGCCCCTGATTATTTGAAAACCCAAAAAAATATAGCTAATGGAACCATTTATCATCTATGCCGCCTGACCTTAACACATACAATTCATAAAGTTCGGTCTACGCTTCAGTTTATAAATTTTGGTTTATCAATTACGAGATGCGTTAAATATTTGCAGTTGCTAAAACGCGTGACCTCTGTATTTGCTTGAATAAATATTAAGTTAATAAGCTGCTTAGACGTATTTGGGTGTGGAGTTCCCTCTTAAAAAAATCATAGGCCAAAACAATCAATTAAAACCTTAATATTTACAAGTATTAGCAGCATTAATTGGAACACAAACTGGGGGGTTTTCTTTTTACCTATCTAAAAACCTGCGTCATAACCTATCTTAACAAGTTTCGTGAATATTTTAGAATACTCGATTTCGTAACTTTCTACAAACCCACGTCATTTGTGCATTATTGGAGTTTATTTTTATTCAGAAAACCGGCAAATGTTTATATATACATATATCGTTCGTTAAAATCGTTTTATTTTAAAGGTCATATATATCATTTCTTTTCATCCCGTTACCCGTGGAATACAAATACATAAATTTCCAACAAAATTATAAAAATATATACTTTTTTAATATTTTTTGGAGGGAATTTTTATGTTAATTCTCTCAAAATCTATATAGGTCTCCACTTTAATAGAAAAAAATATAAGTTTTAAAAGATAACATATAAACAAGAGTTCTAGTAAAAAAAAACTGTAATAATAGTTATTACAATTGTAATTCATCATTATATTAACATAGTAAAAAAAGAGCTTTCCGAACACGAATCCCATAGCGGAGACACAAACCAATATATAGCTTTTCCCCGAACTATTGCTTTCTCCCTCCAGCGCATGCGAAAAACACCGGTCACACTATAGCCATCCCGCTCGGCACCCACATGAGCCAAAGAAAACTGAGGCTGCAAAAATGTCGGCAATCCGCTGGCTATTTTTCCTGGGCGCCTGTTAACGGACGCGCGATACAACAAATCGCACTACACAAAATTTTATTTGAAAAAAAGTCACTTTAATGCCAGCCAACGAGGAGCGAGCGCGAGCCAAGAAGTTTGTGTCAGCGAGAACGGTTTGCTGCTGGCCGCATTTTTCTAACACCAGTCAGGGCCCCATCGCAAGGCCCCCAAAAGACTCAACAGGTGAGCCCTGCAAAACACACACACACATATACATATGTATGTGTATATGTGGCTCGGAAATTATGTCGATCCAAAAGGGGTTTTTCAAAAGGGTTGGAAGGGTTGGAACGTCGAGTCAATCAGACAAGAGGCCAATTACAATTGTGATTGCCAATAGGCCCGGGACCTATCATCGAATGCAATGGCCAAACAATGGCCAATGCCACATGAAATACGAACTCCACCCACATAATTGAGGCAACAGGATTGTTAACCTGTTTTTCGGCTCGTTCTTCAGCAGATTCTACTGGAACCACATTCTACTAATCGAATGGGGCATCATCAGATCGGCTTTTGACGCATCAGTTTCTGCCCTGTTCTTTCGCTTGGGCAAGGGCCATTCCGGCCACTTTGGCCACTTTGGCCTGTAATGGCTTTATCCCCGCTTTAAAGCATTTCTGGTTGGTCTGCGCCTGTCGCACCAGTCACAGTAAACAGCTGACACCGGCCAGGCCGCAATCACTAAAGTAAAGGGAATTATATTTGTCAAGTCGCACTTCATATACCCTTTATGGGTAAAATATAAGATAAGTAATGTTATGTTCCAAATAAACAATATGCTGCATCACGACTTGTGATGGCAGTGAAAAGGAATCTTAGGTTTACTTTTAAGTTTTTAATATTTCTGGATCTGTTTACTATGACATACTTTATGTTTGGGTAACAGATATTAAAAAGCCTTAATAAACCTATCTTCAACCCTTTTAAACTACCATTTATAATTGCATATGAAAACAAAGTATTCATCAAATCAATTATACACTATCTCTTTAATGTAAAATGTAAATTATATCTCATATAATAATCTGCAAAATGTGTTGTTTTCTTTTGTCAATTAGTGGTTAAGAAAAAGTTTTTTTTCTTTAAAAAGAACTTGTCCCAAGTTTATTTACTTTAATTTAAGCTAAGGTAAATGCTTAAATCAAACCAATAATATCTATAGGATATAGTAGACCGATCTGCCGGACTTTCTCAACTCATCTGCTTTTATATTTTATATTAAGTTATTAAAAGAAGACAATAGAGAAAGTTTTTAAAACGGAGCATAAGTAAAAAGTAAACCTAAACTGGGTGGGTGTGACCAAAATGTGTAATACCCTGCGATAGGGTACACAAACAATACACGGCGTCCATGAGGCAATCGTTTCATTGTGTGTGTGCGCACGAAATGCGAAGCGGCAGCAGCTGTGACGGCAGCCAATAAGAGCCACCATCCAACTATATGAGGGCAAACACCATCTATCGATTGCTGAGTGCCTGGTGGGCGGTTTGTGTCATTCGACCAACACAAATTTTGAAGTTTTTTTCTAGACTTTCTCGCTGTTCGAATGCAGGCACTGGGCGAACGCTTGCCGACCAATAAACTGTAGCAACGGTTCCGGGGGCCACAGCGGTATGGCAATGGTACGGCAAAATCCAAGTGCAGGCAGCACCATTCACCAAACCACCAACCAAAGTTGCGACGAATAAAAGAAGCAGAAACCGAATCAGCTCCCTGTGTATCTGTATCTGTATCTGTTCTGTTTCTGTGTATCTGTGTGTGTTCGGGGTGTATCTGTGTCTGTGAGTGCGACTGTGTGTATCCGTCGGATTGTTCGCATCGATAGGGTCGAAGCGTCGCTCTATGGATTTCTGGGCGCCTGGCTAAAATATCGGTAGTTTTGTTGGCCGCGTGACGATTGCGCGTGACTGAAATTGATTGGAATCGGTATCGATAAAGCAGGTGATGTCGCTACCTCTCCTGGCGATCATCTAATTTCATAAGGCTTACTTGTTATACTTGTTAAATAAATAATAACGAGATAAAATGTTTTAGTATATAACTAACGTGTCTAAATGAAAATATTAAGATTGGTGATTTTAATGGGCCTTAAAAAGTGATAAAGTGATCGAAATTGTAAAATGAGTTTAGGCACTATTTTTATTAACTGTTAAAGCTGTTAATATGATCGTTAAACAAAAAAACATAATAAAGAAATAACTATTACAATAACACTTACAATTACAAAAGCAAATAAATAAAAAGAAAAACCAATTTAACATTTTTATTTAGTTAAGTGTATGTTGAATTTATTTAAATATGAAATGATGAATACAATACAACGTTAATAAAAAGAAATATGTAAGTGTATGAGCGTTTAAGCGTTTGATGGTCACCATTGCTTTACTTACTTTTGACGAATTAAAGGGCATTTTAGTTAAGTGACTTCTTACCAAAGAACCAGTTTCTCGATGCTATATAGAGTACTTAATAATCCCTTTGACTGATGCTATTTTACGTTAGCCATCTTGCTAAATAACCATTCATAATATTTTCAATTCGTATTTGCACGTTGATAATAGATCTTGACAAGCTATCGTTACAATCCAGCCAATGTATCTCGTTTTTATTTGTAGCTGTACTTAAGACGCAAGTTGTAGTTTTAACTAAGCCAAATTAGTTAACTGTTCAGAAGACGTTGCATACTTTACGAGGTATTTATAAAATGTATGCATATTTTTGGGGATCATTGAAATAAGCATAAAAATAGTTTGTTAGATAAAATAAAAATGTTGTATTTTGAAACTTCAAATCATTAGATCATAACACCTGAAATTTAAGCACAGGCCCTAATTTAAATGTTACGAAAACATAAAATATAAAAGAATGAAAAACATTCTTTATATACTGATATCTTAAAAAAAAGGTAAAGATATTTATACTCTCATTTAATTATTCAATTCTCTTGATATTGCTTAAGCAAAATCATCTTAAAGAACTGAACTAGACTGTTTTGAACTATATGAAATATCCAATTTAGCATGCGAATGAAAGCGAAATCAACATAAAACGTAATCAAATACCCAGGCGACTAAGACAATAAAATGAGTGAAGAAACAGGTCGAGTTGGCCACCAGCTGCTTGGCTAGAAAGAGCAAAAGCCAAGTTAAGAAAGTGCTCAAATTCGGTTTATGCCGCCGACCATTTCTTCTGCCATTGTGTGAATGTGAATCTCGAATAATGGAAAAAGGCAACAAAATAGAAACATCGCGTTGATTCGGGCCTGAGGTTTTGGTTTTAGTTTTGGTTTTTCGCCAGACGCTGGTTCAGCCTCAGCTCAGTGGGGATTGTGACTTCAGCTTGGGCGGACGTGAGTGCTCGAGGCCAGCATAAAGTTCGTGCGAATCGAAAACCGAGACGGCCAAATAGGAAGAGAGAAATTTTCAGCGAATTTCATTTGCATTTGTGCGGGATCGGGATCATTAACATGCACGGCTAGGCTAAGCGCCATTAAAAGTGATCAAATTGTGCATGCCGAGTGCCATTTGAGTGACTGTGACTGTGTCTGTGCCACAGCCCTGCTAATCAGTCATTCAAGCCGCGCATGCGCAAGGAATATATGTACATATAATCCCAACCCAAATCGTAACTCCCGCGCACGTGTGCTCGACCAACTTAATTGCCAAGGGCGTGAAATAATTAGCCTTCAACATGACTGCTTCGCCGGGACTTTTGCACATGGATCATCCGGTCAAAGCTTTCTATCAGTTTTTCCTCGACCTGATAGTATTCACCTTTAAATCTATATTCTACATACTGGAATCGGTGTACTATAGCCTGCTGCCACAGCGTTTTAGAAAGTTAAAGGTACAACGGAAGTGTGCATAATTTTATTGAAACTTGATAGACTTTCTTCCATCGATTGACCCTGGACAACTTTGATTATCTAAGAGACACCCACAAAAAATATATAGGTATATTTTTAAAGCAGCTTCCAGTAAACCACTTCAAATCAATCATAGGTAGAGCTACCTCAAAGTCATTTCTTTTGTTTTTTTTTCCACTTTTGCGGACCGTCAGTTTTGGCAATTTCACAAACATTAATGAGCCACGCGCAGTTTTGTGGTAATGAAAACAAATTATATTCGCTTTTTTTAAAACAATAAAAAGTGTCCGACTCGAATTTATGATACCCTTTGTCTACAAAAATCGAGCAGAATCATTTAATTAAAACACATTGTTTGCCTATAAATCTGTCTTGTTTTCATTAGCACAAAGCCTAAAAACTTTCCAATTTATTTGTTTCACTTAACGAACCTCATTTGCAAGCGTTCAAAACTTGTCGTAAGAAAGCATTTGAACAAACATTTTGCTTTGTTTTGATATGCTTCGATGGTAAACAATATTGTTCACACGCTTTGCTGGCTTTTCATGAATGAACCCCCTTTTTATTTAAAATTTTTCGCTTCTGCAGACTTTACCTATGGTACGAAGCACTTAAGACATTTGTTTAAATATTTACAGGCGTATTTGATTTATGGGAGCTTTGTTTTCAATTAACCGAAGCCCAAGGGTGACATTGAATTTAAGCTATTTATTTTTTATGCACAAATGTTTACCACGGTTAAACGCATCTTCAGTTTCTGGACAAAAAAATCAGAGGCTTGACAGTCCAATGAGCAGCAAGCAGCTTAGTATGACAACATGTTTTTCCTCATCCAAAAACTTTGCCTTTTCCTTAGTCATTGTTGTTGTGGTTGCAAAGTGCACGCTACACGCACACCAAAAAAAAAAAAACAAATTGCATAGAAAAGTATATATATATAAATTACAAGCAATTGAAAAGGAAAAGTTGTGATCTGCCTAGCAGACAGCATGAAAAACCTTCCTTTCTTGCAATATGATTACTAAACTAATATGCTCTGCTGTAGAGGATTGAACTCTGCTGAAATTGATTGAACTTTGTTGTGGGTCCAACGAAATAAAAGTTGAACACATACTTTGCGACATTATGACTTATGAGCATGTGTTGCAAGACACAGTCGTTGGCCAAAATAAAAATTTCAAATTATGCAAAATGGCCAAGTCATATTAAATGCACCGTCATAAGGCAGTCGCACCCATTTTCGTATGCTAAAAAGGGTTGCTTACATATATTACAGTTTATGACTACAAAATTAAGCAAAATGGTGTAATCATAACAGAAAAATAAAAAGCAAAAGTAAATTTAATTGATGGAGGAATGATAATTTTAGCAAACTTTTAAGTATGATAATTTATGCAGCGTAATGAATAGCATATTAAATCAGATATTTGATAAAACTATTGTTTTGTTTATTGAATTGACGACTGCAATCCTCAATCCTTTGTTTTGGGTATCTTATATTTTAGTGTTATTATTTTAATTAGAAACTAATTTAATTGAGAGACTTATGTATCGTAATGAACAGCATTAACATTTATATATAAAATAACTAATTTATATGTTTTGTTTGTTGGATTAGAAACTGCTATCACTCAGTCCATGTACAATTATAAATACTTATCTATTGTTACTTATCATTATCATATTAAATTACTTTTTTCCATTGACAACAGGACGTCGCTGGCCAGGTGGTGCTCATCACTGGAGGAGGTGGAGGCGTTGGTCGCTTGATAGCGCTTAACTTTGCCAAACTTCAGGCCCGCATAGTCATCTGGGATATCAATCAAGAAGGTAGGCGACTGTGAAATCGCACCAACGTGCTAATTAGTTCGTCACAGCTTCTGCAGAGCGGGTCAAAAAACCCGGTAACTAGTGAAAGCTGTTACATTTACAATTTGATTAGCTAAACAATATTTGACAATAATTTTTCCGCTCAGCAATTAAGACGACGGTGGACCTGTTGGCCAAACATGGTTATGACAACTGCAAGGGCTATGTGGTCGACATCTCGGATAGGGAGCAAATCTACCAGCGGGCCAGCCAGGTCAACGAGGAAGTGGGTCCAGTGGACATACTGATTAACAATGCGGGAATCGTCTGCTGCAAGCCCTTCTGGGAGCTGCACGACCGCGTCATCCAGAACACATACAACATCAATATAATATCGCACTACTGGACGGTTAAAGCTTTTCTGCCCCACATGATGCGGAATAATCGTGGTCATATTGTGACCGTGGGCTCCGTAACCGGAATGCTGGGCACCTACGGTTGCAGCGACTATGCGGCCACCAAATACGCCTGCATCGGCTTCCACGAAAGTCTGCTCACGGATCTGAAGGCCCATGGCTATGATCAAATCCAGATGAGCCTGATCTGTCCGTACTACATCAATACTGGCATGTTTTCGGGCGTTCGGCCGCGAATGATGCCCATGCTGGAGCCGCAGTATGTGGCGGATCGTATCGAGAACGCTGTCCGCTGTAATGAGGTGTGGTGCGTCCTGCCCAACTCGATTCGCCTGCTTACGCCACTTAAATGGTGAGTAGTTTAATAAAATGCCCATATCTTGGGTTATTAACCTCGTTATTTTTCAGTCTTTTGCCCGCCAAAATGTGCTGGGAGCTGATGTCGCGTGTCATTCGCGGCCCCGAGTCCATGATGATGTTCCAGGGTCGAGGACGTGTGGCCGCTGGCTAGCCTCCTAATGGGACTAATCCCAGAATCATATCCTTTAAGCTTAAGTTGTTATCAAGAGGCGTTTATCTATAATGTTACAATAAAGTAAATTAAACGATTGAATTGTTTTAACGAATAGTTTACGCAGCAGTTAATTATTTCAAACATATAAACACAATATTTCTCACTAGTTAAAGCTCAAAACTAAGTTCGTTCTCGACAATAATGCTAGCTTTGAATAGTAGTTTGCTTTTCAATCCGTTTACGAACATGTTCTAAAATATATATTAGACTGCTAGGCTAACAAACTTACTTCTATCCCGGAGGCTTCGTTTCCTGCTAATCCCGCACTGTGGTCTGCTGGTAGTAATGCGGAGCCAGCTCCGTTAGCCACTCCCTCTTGATCACAGTAATGTGGTTCATGAATAACTTCGTCGTCTGGAGCAGTTCCCCGTAAACCACATACTGCGCTTGGGGAAGTGTGTAGAGCGTGGAGTTTGGATGTATGGCCAGTTCGGTGCCACTGCTGATTTGACGATAAACTCCAGAGTGATGGAGATAAGCCACCTGGGTGAAGAAGCCAGCAGTGATGCATTTACAGAGCTTCTCCACATCGCCTTTGCACGAAAAGATGGGAATGCCGTACTTCTTTCTAGCCAAAGTGATGAGTTGCTCCCTCAGCTCATGCGCCCTTTTAAGATTTCTATAGATGAGGTAGTACTGGCCGCAGAACTCCTTGGTCATGCCCTCCTCCACGAAACCGGTGTACACGTTCAACAGGGTAATGAAATCGCCTTCGGCCACTTCGAAGTGCCGATGAGCTATGCGTCCACTTTGCTGGGCAACGGCAGAAACTGGTCGCGAGAATATAGACTGTACTTGCAGCATTGCAATGATGGTTATTATCTCCTCGGAGCAGCCCATCTGGCCGGAAATGTAGAGCATCTTGGAGAGCATGGCGCTGAAGGGCAGCTCGGCCAGCAAATAGCCCACCGGCTTGGTCAGGTTGCCCTGCTCATCGATGGCGTCCAGGGCAAAGAGTCCCTCCAAGGCAGATAGCAGATTCTGTGCCGGCGGTGGCGAAGGAAAATCGAAGCGTAGAATATTCCCGATGCCCAGGGCCTTTAGTTGGAGTACAGCGCCGCTCATTTCACTGCGTCGCATCTCCGGTGGCTGACGTGGAGCTAGTGCATCAAAGTCCGATTTGGTGTACAAACGGTACACCTTTCCTGGACGCATTCGCCCCGCTCGTCCTGCTCTTTGAATGGCCGAAGCCTTGCTGACTGGCACTACGACCAAACTGTCGCTACAGGTATTGGGATTGTACCACTTAACCTTGACGTAGCCACAGTCGATGACATAAACTATGCCCGGAATGGTGATGGACGTCTCTGCGATATTCGTGGCCAGCACCACCTTGCGCACACCCTTGGGTGGGGTAAAAAACACAGCCAATTGATCGGTACTCGACATGCTGCCATACATGGGCAGCACCTTGAGGTTCTCCTTCTCCGAACTGGCTATGTACTCTCGCAGGAGATCCAGTGCCTCCAGGACTTCCTCTTGGCCTGTTAGGAAGGCCAGTATATCGCCTGGTGGTTCCTTTTGGTGGAGCTTCCAGACGGTCTCCACAGTTTCCTTGACATAGTCGGCACATGGTTCGTTAAGGTAGAAATTACTCACAGCATGCATGCGTCCTTCGATGCTGAGTTTCACACTGACCTCTCCCGATCCGGGCCAGCTGAAGAACTCGCTAAAGAAACCCGCATCTATGGTGGCCGACGAGATGATGAGCTTGAGGCCGCTGCGTTTGCGCAGGATCTTCTTGAGCAGACCCAGCACCATGTCGGTGAGCATATTCCGCTCGTGGGCTTCATCCACTATGATCACACCGTATTGAGTGAGCAGGGGATCGGCGAGGAGTTCTCGCAGTAAGATGCCCTCGGTCATGAACTTGATCTTTGTCTCCGACGTGATCCTTTCAAGGAAGCGCACCACATAGCCCACTGTATCGCCCACGAGTTCGCCGCGTTCTTGAGCCACTCGATTTGCCAGGGTGACCTGAAAAATAGGACTTTAATTTGGAATATTACACAAGTGATTAAGTACTTCTTACAGTGGAAACACGTCGGGGTTCGGTGATTCCTATAAGTCCTTTGGTGTGCCAGCCCCATTCGTACAAATACTGAGGAACCTGGGTGCTCTTGCCACTGGAAAACACAGAAAATAGTGAAAATTAAGGCGCCTTTTCTAGTTCGTCTAGAACTCCATACAAACCTGCCTGTTTCGCCCACAAGAATTACCACCTGGTGTTTTTCCAAACAGTACAGAATTTGATCCCGGTACTGACGTATGGGCAAGCGTTCTCTCTGAAATTAATTTAATTTAGTTTGTTAATTTCACAAATAATGAAAGTATAGTCGATAGACCAACCTGCTCCACAAGTCCCAGATTGTGATTGGCATTGAACACAAAGCCCGAGGACTGCGTATCGCCGCCTACACTATCTGAAATTGCATCGTCTGTATCTGGTTTCAAGAATTTCGGTTTAAAAGTAGACATTTTTCATTAATTTATAAAAGTTGAGTTGAATTTTAAAACTAAATAAACAGCTGGAAACGCCGCTCTCTCGGCCCAAAATACCTTAGTGCCTCGAAGAAACGACTGGTCACACTTTCTTGGCTGAATATCGCATGCAAGTATCGATTGCCAAAAGCCGGCTTCCTTTAAAAAGCTGACTGTTATGATACTCAAAAACATATTCAAACAATAAAGACCGTTACGGCATTCTTAAAGCAAATTTAAAATATAAATAAAGACATGTATTTGAAATTATTGATTTTAAAACAACATTTTTACGATTTTTAAGCCAAATTCAAACTACAGCAGTTATCGATAACCAATTACCTATTGCCACCAATAATAGCTACAGCAAACACGTTACTTTGGTGTGAAATGTTGGACTTCGTTTCCCATTCCTCCATCCCCAAAAATAGGTAATGTCCATAACGTTCGTCTGTATTATTCATGCACATGTTTGGGCCATTTGTGGGCACGTTGCAACACCGACAATGTCCCCTATTGCGAGTGAAAATAACTCTAATTGCCAAAGGCAAGGCCACTTTTATTATCTGCATAAGCTATAGTACTCATTATGTACTATATGGCCGTTTGGTAGCCACGTGTGTGTGTCAAATATGTCCCCCGAGTGTGCAGCTGTCGCCGACAGAAGCGCCCGGCCAATTGCTTTTGAATAAATATTGTATCTCTCTCGAGCAGCAAAACACACATTGTAAACCGAACTTTTGTTTCGCTTCCTTTTTGTATATTTTGATTTATGCAACGTCAGTGGGTATTATATACAGGGGGTCCTTTTTGCCCCCCTCAACCAATCGGACTCGGACCCGAACCCGAACCCCACATACAAGACCCCTGCATTGACCCTGACATTAAGACCGCTCGCTTTAACTTTAACCCGAACGAACACGTGCCCGACATGCACGTTTGACCAACCAACACCAACCACATCCGCATGCCAGTGCTGAAACTGAAACAATGGAAACAGTCCCGGCCCCACAACCCAGACCCCATGGCGTATGAGTAATCCGAGTAAAGCTAATTAAAGGCCAGCGACGAACTTCATGCCAAGGACGAGGCGCCAAGTCGCCAAAGCGAAAGCAATGTCGTCGAAGCCAAAAACTCGACTAGCAGTTTGTCAACACCGCCGTTCGCGGAAAACCCCTAAAACAAAGTGCACTGAGAAAAGTGTTTTATGAAATTATAAAACTGCAGTTTAAACATTCATTTTAAATGATCTTAGTTTAAAGTATCGCTGCATCCCTTTTTTAAAACGTTAGTGAACCACAGCAAAATTAGTTTGTCATTTAAATATTTATTTATTCCATATATCTCAACTTTAAAGCCCTCTTTACACAGCTATGCCCTTATAATTTTAAGTATATTATATATAGTTTAAACAAAAAGTGTTTAGACACATCAGTTAATTAAAATTTAACATTAAACATTATTATCCAGACCTGGACAGATTCTAAAAAAAGATGAATGAAAAATATTTTTGTTGTCTGTACATAAATAAAATTTAGTCAATTTGTACATCATTTCCATTCCGTTCGAAGCTCATTTAAGCAATAACAGTAAAATAGATATCACTTTACATGGTTATGTTATGGTTATGGAAAACTCACATTTCCGTACAGTGTGGTGTTTCGTCTGGTGTGGTGTTTCGGTTCCAGTTGAATATAAATTTTAATAGATGGCCTCAAGGCCAGAGTTTTACTGTCATTCGGCTGTAGCACTTCACTGCCGGGATCCTAATTCCAATTCCCCCAATCGTAGGGCACCTGACTAAATGCCATAGACCCCGATGGACGCTCTGAATGCTAACTGTTATTCCGGCTTTTACGAGCAAAGTTTCCTTGGAAATGCCAGTGAGGGTAAATTTCGAATCTATTATAACTATAGTTTCGCGATGACGACCCTGATTACAAACGCCGGAGTTATGCGTCCTCGACACCAAGCAAGTGGTGCGAAAAGGGGCGTGGCGGGCCGGGCGGAGGACTGCCGTCATTGTCTTTGCGTGCCTCGAATTTGCGTGATTCATGATGCATGTGGCATGGCGGCAAAGTCGCAACTCGAATGCAACACACACAAACTACACAAAAAAAAAAAAAAATACATGTTTCTGAATTTATAATTTTTTGATTTGAGGTAAAATTTACGTATTTAAAATTATCTTTAACATTCGTCCAAAAGTATGCTAAGAAAAGTGGAACATCCTTTTTCAGTATTTATCCTTCGAAGTTCGAACTACCTTACTAATAAATCGTAGAGAGCTTTATAAAAGTTTATTAGGATTTCTTGACACTTGATTTGCTCTTTGATAACAAACAAGTTTTTTTTCAGTGTACTTCGGAGTTCTAGCACTCCGGGCGTGTTTTTTTGGCGCGTCTTCATGTCTGCCTTAATTACTGGAACTACTAAAACCGAAACTAGTCCCTGCACCACTTAATGCCAATAAAAATGTCAATTGCACACGCGACCTTGGACCGCCGTAAGGCTTTCCGGTCAAGTCAACCGGATTTCGGTTGGTAGTGCAATAGCATATCACTCCGAATTCGGCCGATTAAAATGGATTTTTTCGGTAGCAACATTTTTTTCGTCCTCACAGCTGAGCGGCGTAAACAAAAACAACAGGCAGCCGCAAAAAGGAGAGGGAGAGGATGGAAGAGCCTGCAAAAAGAGAGAGAGAGATAGACCGGCTTTGTGTGACACGTGCTCCTAAAGTGTCGGCGCTACGTGGCGTATACGTATTGCGCTGACGCCGTGGCCATTTTCCAGCGGTTTTGCTTTTGTTGTTTTGCCGCCTAATGTGTTTTGAAAACGCATATCCCAATCCGGAGTACACGGTGTACAGTTACCGCTGGGCAACGTGCAAAACAAAAGCCAAACTCCTCATCCATTCGCTTCAAGGAGTTGGAGTGAGTCGAGCGGTCGGCTTTTTCGCCCGACAGTCGCAGTGGCGTGCTCTCGCTTGCTCTCGTACCTCTCCCACTGGACGAGAGAGAGGAGGATGGCAACACCGACTCGGGAGAGCACGAACACAACTGCAATAGCAGTATAGGTGGGAGGTAAAAGGACGAGGAGCAAACACAAAGAGCAGGCGCACTGAGAGAATTTTGAGGAATGCAAGCTCAGCGAAATTCAATTAATTGATTTAAAGCAATTAAATTTTAGTAATACAAAAGTATAAAAAACTTTAGGAACCAATTATTACTTTTTGCCTTATAAAACCCGTTAGTTATTTATTTTACTGGGGTTAATAACATTCCATATTTTTAGAATTATTTTACACTTGTAAAATTTCTTCAAAGAACAATTAACAACTGCTTTCCTTTCGAACGCAATTGTTTTTGCAAGTGCACGTGAGAGTGAGTTGAGCGAATTATATAGGGTGAGAAATGGAGAAATGTGAGAGCGAAAGCGAAAAATGACGATGTCGCTGCCACGTTGCAGTTTCCTTCGTTCTCGATTTTGCAAGCGTTGCACAGTAGTTCTCAAAAAATATAAAAGTACTTAGGAAAATGAAATTCATATGCTATCTTATACATACAATTAAAAATTAAGTGTTAACATTAATCATATATCAGTAATTTCTGATAAAATTGTTAAGAATAATTTAGGTAACAAATACCAAAAAGTTAAATTGCACTGGCTTATATTGGTATGAAATTTATCCTTTTTGTGCAAGGAATGAATCTTTTTATAAATTGGGCAGCGTGCTAAAAGGACAAAATCAAAATTTCTAATCATTTCGAGACCTTACCAGAACCTCGGAAACCGCCCCACTGTGAGGCAGTGGCAGCAACAACAACAGGCTGCGGCGAAAGCAGCAACATCTGCTGCTGTTGCTGCTGCGGCGTTTTCATAGCTGCTGCTCCTTGGGCTGCGAAATTAGTTCGTTGTCGTCAGTCAGTCAGTTCAGTTCGGTTTTCGAAGTGGACACCCAGCAGAGAACCACCAGGAAATCCGAGGAAAATCCATCCAAGGCGAAGGCAACAACAGCGAATTGGAGCGACAGCAACAACGCATCAGCAGCAGCAACAGCAAACAGTCCAGTCCACAGTTGATGCAAAAAGTTCCCAAAACCAGCCGCAATCGAATTATTCGAACTCAAATTCGATTCCACTGTGCGTGTACCGTTGTGGGTGCGTGTGCCAGTGAGTGTGTGTGTGTGCGTGAGTGTCCTTGGTTGTGTGTGGCCAAAAAACTGAAGTAAATCAAAACTGAAAGCGCTGCCAGGACTTACCAACCCACACACAGGACGAAGAGGAAGCTGAAATCAGGCCAGGCCGCTGTAGAAAATCAATTTTCTGTTAAAATACACAAATTGCAACGACAGACGCGTCTCGAAAACGAAAAGCCGAGAATTATTAATCGGCTGCAAAACTCTGAAGCAGTTGCCCCCCTTTTCCCCGCCGCCCCAAAACGCCATGCACACACACTCACGCGCGTAGCACACACACACCAGACACACACAAACGCGCAGAGAATCGCCTGGACGTTAACGGTAAAAAGCGAACAGACGCCGTTTGGTTAGGCCATCAGTGGTGGAGGTGCAACGGGGGCTTAAAACGAGCAAAGAGGAGCAAAGAAGGCGAGGAGGAGAACAGCGAACTAACTGTTAATTCAGGCGGAGACAACTACAACAGTCGCGTCCATCGGGTTAGGCCCACTCAACAAACCAGAAATATCAATCACAGCCTGCCGACATCTCCATTCAAAAAAGGCCTAACCAAGCAGCAAAAAGAAAACAAAAAGTACTTCCAGAATTTCCCAAGAAAAAGGATAAGCAAAACTATCAACCAAACAAGCAGCTTAAAATAATAACTACATTTTTCTAATAAAGACATCTGTGATTTGCAAATTAAAAACAAAACATAAATTTATAAATAACAACAACAATTATTTTCATACCGCACTTTTTCAAAACCAACAAAACAAAAAAATAACTAGTAAAAGAAACCAATTTCTTTTATAAATTTCCAAACATAAATCACAAATAATTCGGTGAGCGTTTAAAATAAATCTAAATAAATATCGCACACGC